CTGTTGTTAAACCCCACAAACCAGAACATATAGTGATACATGAAAGAGTCGAACCTCAAGTACCTGAAAAGAAAAAAACTATTGTTAAACCTAAAAAACCAGTTACAATGCCTAAAACAGTAAAAGTGGAAGAAGAAAAAACAGTAACTGCCAAACTCAGAAAACCTGAACCTATTGCAGTACTTGAAACAGTAGAGCAGCAAAAAAGGGAAGAAGAGAAGATAGCTGTTGCTAAACTCCCCAAACCTGAACATATGGTTATACATGAAACAGTAGATCACCAAGAGCCAAAAAAGAAGATAGCCATTGCTAAAGCTAAGCCACCTGAGCCTATTATCATCCCCCAAAAAGTGGAGCCTCAAGTGCCAAAACAAAAGATAACTACGACCAAACCTAGAAGACCAGAATCCTTTGTGCTGACTGAGGCAGTAGAATTTGAAGCTGTAGAAGGAAAGATAGCTCTTGCACAGCTTCAGGAACTAGAATATGTGCCACTTGAACCAGTAGAACCTCCCAAGCCTGAAAAAAAGAAAGAGATCTTGAAATCTAAGAAAACTATAATGGAACCTAAAAAAGTAGGGGGAAAAATTGAAGGAGAAAAATTAGCTGTCGCCAAACCCAGGAAACCAAAACCTATTGTGGTACCTGATTCATTAGTGGCTGAGGTGGAAGAACAGGAGGCAGCCATTTCTGAACCAAAAAAACCTGAACATTTTGTGATGTTTGAAAGAGAACTTCTGGTACCTGAAGGGAAGAAAGGTATAGCTAAATCTAAAACAACTGTTACAATGTCTAAAACAATAGTAGAGGAAGAAAAGATTGCTATTTCCAAACCCAGGAAACCAGAAGTCTTTACAGTGCCAGAAATAATGCAATTAGAAGGAGAAGGAGAAGGAGAAGGAGAAGGAGAAGGAGAAGGAGAAGGAGAAGGAGAAGGAGAAGGAGAAGGATTGTTTGAAACAGTAATGCCTCAAAAATCAGAAGAAAAGGTGATTGTTGCTAAAGCTGAAAAAAGAGAACTTGAAACCATAGAACCTTCACCAATAAAAGGTAGATGTTATCTTCAAAAACAAAATACACTCTTATCTTAATAAGTGTTTGTCTAGTTTTGTATGGAAGGAATGTCTCCTTTAAAATATGTTTTTATATTTGTACAAATTCCTTGTCTTATAATATGGAACTGTGAATATGTGAAAGTCATGTCAAATTTAGTGTCAAATCTTGTTGCCTTTTGTTGTCTTGTTGATAATTATTGGTGTGATATCTTTTTCCATTTATGTAATTAACACCATCTAATATCTTTTAAATATCTGATATATATATAGGAAACGTGTCCTAGAAAAGTAAGTAATTTAGTTTTTTAAATAGAAAATAAAAGGGAAAGATGGTTTTAGTAATATAATCTAATGTAAAACATAAGACCTGATATTAAGAAGAAAGAAAAAAATCTACCATTTACACAAAAATAAACTTCCGGGCTGAGGAGCAGTAGAAATAATCTTGCAAAATGGATATCTCAGCTATTTTGAAATATTTCATATTTTCAGTTGAGTCCAGTCAACCATGTCGCTCAACCAATAGAGAAACATCCAAAGTCTCAACTGAAAGCATATTTGCTTATGTAAATGGATGGCCTAGGATGAATACGCTGGAGTTGGAAACTCTTATCCCAATTCCTTAGTTGTTCCAAGGAGTTATCCTATTTGTCACATGACCATGCAGTGCTTGTTCATAGCTCAAGATGAAGGAATGACTTGTTCATCATAATGGGAAAGGTCCTGAATGTCTTTCCATGTGCTTTTACTACCAGTATTCTTGACATTGTTCTTTGTGTCATTCCTTGTTGGTTGGAACAAATATTGTGTTATCTTGTTTAATTTCTTTATACTGTGTTAAAACTATTTGGAATTCTTTAAACTAAAACATACTAATATCTTTAAAGTTCCTGAGATGCCAAAGAAGGTTGTGCCAGAAGAGAAAGTAATTGTTGCTGTGCCTAAAAAACCAGAGCCGCCACCTCCTGCTAAAGGTACATCTCAGTCCTAATGTCATTTTGAGAAAAATGTGCCGTGTTTCCCCCTTGCTCTTGAAAATTCAGTGCTTCTTTTATACTTCTATCATTTTACTTTTTAATCTGAAATCTTGGAGTAAGTATGAAAACAATGCTAAGAGTTATGAATGCCTAAGTCTTATTTCTCATTCCTTTTCATCTACATTTTAACATACTGAAATGTAACAGAAAACAATACTATTTCTTTAAAGTGCCTGAAGTGCCCAAGAAAGCAGTCCCAGAAGAGAAGATACCAGCTGCTGTTCCAGAAGCACCTCCAGCCAAAGGTACATCTTATTAAAGTTTACACAGATGGAGGATCAGAATTAGAGTATCTATTTGTTTTAACAATGTGCATTGCTACTTTTTATTTTATAAATGATTGTTTCTGTGCCCTATTATTGGCATATAAAAACAACGTTCTTCCTCTTCACCTGTCTCTCGAAACCAATGATATCTGAGCTAATAGTGTTTGCTTGTTCAGGATTTATAGCACTGCTTGAACATAATTTTTTCTAAGGATGTGCACAATAAATAAATTAAGCTTATGTATGAGTGAATGTTGCTCACAGGAAAAGAGACTAGCGTAATTAAGGCTGCAATCCTGTAGATACTTAGCTAGGAGGAAGAAGCTCCACTGAAGTCAGTGGGATTTACTTTTGAATAGGTATTTATAAGATTACATTATATAATTGTATGCATAATAATATAAAGGCTGGAGAAATGTCATGTTATTACACTGCCTGACAATGGAATAAGATGACGTTCAGCCTCAGTTGATTCACCCTAGGGAGAATCTGATTGATTGTATTTTAAGATTCCTTGTTGAGATTCTTGTTGAGACTGAGGTTCCATATTATAAATAAATAAATAAAGTGATGCATCACAGTTGAGATAGCTCTCTCCCCCTATGAACAAATAGGAAGAAGTGTTTAAAGTATATGTTAGATAACACGTCATACAGTGCCTATGCTTATTTTATTAGACCTGCATCCTCCTGTGTTCAATGAGAGCTTAAACTAAGTGAGCAAAGGCTGAAGCCTTAATCATGGCAATGCCATGGTGGAGTGACTTCATAATATGTATGTTTAGTACTGAAATCATCATTTGATTATATTGTATATTATCCTTTCACTTTCATTTCTAAAACATTCTTTGCAAATCCCATGTGTGGGGGCTTTCTCCTGCTCTGCAGCTCCCACAAACTATCAAGATTTACTCTGTGAGCTTTGGAAACCTTCTGGGAGGCTATGGAGTGGAGTGGGAATCACCTCCTTCCCATTCTGTCAGTGGAAACTGCTTCTGTTAGTGAAAGCATACCGTTAGCTCTAGCCCTGTGTGTATACCACAATTTATGCTTCAAAGAGTAATAACAACCCATGCCTTTCCTTTAATAGTGCCTGAAGTACCCAAGAAACCCATTCCAGAAGAAAAACTTGTGCCTAAAAAACCAGAGGCCCCACCTGCTAAAGGTACATACAGTTTGTAAACCCAGCAAACACACTTACTATGGATCTCCCATTACTGTGCACTTTACTATTTCCCCTTAATTTCTGTTGTATCTGTTAATCATGCTATATGTACCTTGTGTGTTGTAACTACATTTTATTAAAACTAGGCATGACTGATGATGGATTGTGCACTACTGATCATTTTTAGTGACAGGGTTTAGTATATGATAGCTTTTTAAATGTTTGGGATGCATAATATTGACTTCAGCTAATATTTTCAAGTTCCCAAGGTACTAAAGAAACCTGTTCCAAAAGAAAAGGTTCCGGTTGCTGAGCCAGAAGCTCCACCTCCTGAAGGTATGTGTAATTATTAAGAAAAGATAACAAGTAATACTACACATTTTAAAGCAAAATCATTTAGGTTATTATATTGTATGTAGATTATATGGAAACAGGTTTGTCTAAAAAACCAGGAACATGAGTAATGGGCAGGTGGCTTGATTTCAGTTACTTTTTGGCACCTGCATTCTTCTAGTCATTTCCAAAGTACTTGTACTAAAAGTATATTCATATTTTGAAGTGCCTGAAGTGCCAAAGAAAGTTGTCCCTGAAAAGAAAGTACCAGCTAAGGTGCCTAAGAAACCAGAGGCTCCACCCACCAAAGGTACGACTTGTTAATAACTGTTAGTAATAATTAATGTTTGATGCTATTTTCTTGAGGGAGAATGGGCAGGCTTGGGTGTCACTGTGTGTGTGTTTATAGGAGTCCATTACAAGCCATGACGGCATCATCTTTGTCATAGCATCATGGTGCAAATGACGGAAATTATGCAATTTGCTTTATCATGACACGATATATAGAGTCTGTCACTCAGGTCGTTTGCACAATGTCCCATGTCTTCCCTTGCCCTATTCAGTAGACACCCAAATTCTATTTTGTACCACCGGTCTGTAAAGGAAAAAAAAAAAGCTTCACTTCTGTGAATTACATCACTCTCATCCTGGTTCTCTCCCAAGAGAACCCTATCTATGAACCCTCCTTATCTATGAACCCTCCCTATCTGTGAAAGTTTCTATTTAATTCCTGTATGATTAACATCTCCTCCAGATCTTTAAAATTCAAAGTATTAAATGCCTTCTTCTATTTAAAGTTCCTGAGGTTCCTGAGATTCCTGAGGTTCCTGAGGAAGTGGTCCCCGAAGAGGAGGTGGTCTCCGAAGAGGAAGTGGTCCCTGAAGAGGAAGTAGTCCCCGAAGAGGAAGTCTATGTTCCTGAGGTCAAAAAGCCCGTGCCACCTCCTGCCAAAGGTACAGATCTTCCCATCTTTTTTATTTTCTTGGGGCCCAGAAGTATTATTCTAAATAAAAGTGATACCAAAGGTCCGTGCAGTATTTTGCTGCATGAATTAAATTACATTAAAAGACTCTTTAAGAAAAATGAAGTCAGAGATGGCATGGAGCCTGGCGAGTACAATAAAATGCGGTTTGTGGGCCCCACTTGAGTTAGGATTTGTGAAGTCATGCCACTCAGCTGGCATGGTGTTTTGTTCTGGTGGGATTTGGTTCCGTCTGCAGTGCGGTCCCCTTTTAAAGTTTGGTTTTTTTACTGTTTTCCACCCTTTGTAAGCGGCCCAGAGTGTTTGATGTATAGACAGCCTTAGAAATTGACTGAATAAATAGTAAATTCTGTGTTCCTTTAAAAAACAAATGTAACATTCATGACATTTCTTTCTACATGACTTCGTATGCGTGAATAAAATAGCCTCTTCTGCCTTACTGCAAATACTAGTATAAGATGACTACACATACAGTACTGGAAATTACATTGTGTATAATTGACTTATTGTATTTACACATATATTTTCCCTTTTCTAATGTCCTTGCACATTTAAATAAGA